CTTCAGGATAACAACAGAACGCTGAACCCCAGTCCCTCTGGGGACCCGGTTTATATCCTCACTGGTCGTGTCTGGCTCCGGCCTTGGCCACGACCACCTTCTCGAATCCTCTAGCAGGATCTCGCCCCGACACTGACCACCCCTAGCCCCCACTTGGGGCACGTGCCTTCTAGGGTGAACCAGATTGCCATGGCCTACATTAACCCCATTCAAGACCGGCACTCTCACACCCCTTCCTATAGGGGACAGCACTGCACGCCGAGCGTGGTGCCACTCCGCGCTCTCTATCAGCGCTCACCGAGCCCCTCTAGGGCTGGTACTACACCCACATATATGGGGTGTCCGCGTTGTAAATACATCGCACGCCGTGCCTCTGTAGGGATGTCGCTACATATTTAGAACTGCATTCACACCGTACGTAGCTAACCGTGATAATCGGATCAGAGGAGTTACTTGGAGCCTATTATTCACATTTATCATTGGTTAAGCTTCCCGCATAAGTGATACCGGAAGCGTTACATTCCGATTTGTGATGCAGCATGATGCAGCATGATGTAACTCAGTTCGCTCTTGTAAAAGAGGCAGTGCTGTTTCATGACTCAATGGGTTTATTTCATCTCCTGGCTAAAAATAGGATACAACAATAACCCAGATGTGGCCACAAATTCCTATCCGCAGATATCCACATGGATAATACAGCTTTACACACGTAATAGGAACTGTAAAGAGTTCCACCAATACTACCACAATTAAGGAGTTTCACTGAAAGTGCACTTTATGAAGTAATATCTTAAGGTGAAGATATGCTGTCTTGACATCAGTCACGGGCAGATCAGATAATGTAGATGCAGATAATCAAGTCGAGCTTAATTGCATGGCCGAGCACAATAGCTACGTAGTCACGCAGCCTTCCCTGTGTTGAGAAGAGAGGTCACAATCCCCAAGCCTGTCGCGATGAGCAGTGCATTATCATTGGATATCTCAATTACATGTGAATATATTCAAAGTTACACTGCATCTGCCCGAAGATCAAGGCTGCAACAATGATTTTTATTAAAAGTATTCTCCGATAATTAATTTTATGAGGTATTTGAAAAAATATACGTGTGTTACATAAAGTGTCTGCGCGTATAAATGAGCGTTGGGTGGAGCTTATTTCCACTCTCCTGATTGAGAGGCAATTTAACTAAAGGAGAACCACTGATCACTCCCCACAAAGTCGTAGCTGAGGGGCGATGGACTAAGTGAAGCCCCGACAGGTTTTTGAACTCGCAACTCCGTGGTTTAATGTGATCAAAGAACTTGGTTAGTTTTGGGGTTGTTCCCTCCATTAACTACTTGATGTGGGCGTGCTGGGTTGTGGATAGGCTGGGATGACCGGGCCACTTGCCATTGAGACTCGTGCCTACTCCACGATCAAACAGCGGTATTGATCTGACTGTGGCCTGGCCCAGCACCGGGTCACAATGATGCACGGTGCATTACAACTCTGTTCACCCAGTGTAACCAATCAGTGTATTCATGACTCAGGATCTACTGAAAACAATACCTGGTTCCCAACTTGCAGAATCAGTAAGCAATTCTGAAAACAGTTACCGTTTAACCAACCCTAATGAAAAGGATGCAAATTGTAAGCGGTTAATTCAAATGCAAGTGTCTCCCTGTTCAAATGAGCCTTCGAACGCGTTCATCTGTTGGCGGTCACGGTTGGAAATTCCACATTCCCCTAGACTCTAAAATTTACTCTAGAGGAAGACAGATTTTTTTTTTCCCCACGAGATAATTACCGTTTACTTCCCACATAGCTGTTTCCGCTTATTGACACTTAGGTGCAAGGTGGTCTGTAATACGACCCTTAAATGCTATTAAAGATGCTTCTGTGAAATCTAAAACCAACAAGGAAAACTGGCAGGTTGTTTTTGCGGACAAATACTGGGTAATAATATCTCACCGACAGACTTTCAAGAAAGCCGTTAGGCAGGCTATAACACGAGAGATACAGGTGGGTTTTGTATTCACAAAAAAGGCTCATCAGCATGGAATACCTAGCTAAGGACTGTCACAAAAGCCCAAAGGATAATGGATGAGAAGAGCTAATTAATGTGTTACTTTAAATATGCAGTAACAATGGCAAATAATATTTCGATAAGATTAACCAAAGTTTAATGTATTTTAACAGTTAGTGGTGATGCATCACGTGGCTGGTGCTTGTGGTTAACTTTCTTGTTTCATGATTGGGAAGTTGGTTTAGTTCAGAATCTGTATTTATACTGGAGGAATCCAATGTGCTATAAAGCTCTTTTTTACAGACAGTTGATTCAGCCGCCATCTCCTCTCTACAAAATCCTGATAACCACTATTTCGGAGGGCAATAGTTTATGTTACTGATAGAATGGCCCCAAAGAAAACTTGAATTTACAATAATGGCTATGGGCAGGAAAAAAACACCACGATAGTAGTTACGCAAAAATCTGTCAATTTTACCCCCCCCCCCCCCTCCCTGTACGCACGCGGACTTTTTACACCCCCCCCCCCCAATCCTATAGAACGGCCGATATTTAATCCACGCAGAAACGAACAAGGATTAATAATATTAACGTGTTTAAGCAAACAGACAGTCCACCGATGGCTGCATTTACTACTATAATGAGCCAAGAATGTCTTTCATTTAATTGAGTTATTTTCATTTATGATTATTTTATTATAATTTTTTACCTACGTGACTTTACCGAAAAAACCTAAGAGTATGAATCCTTGCAGTCACGAAAGCTTCAAATCTAGAACCAAGAATGTCTGTTTGTGTGTAACGTGCGTGACGTCACTCCACATGCCGCACCCCCCGTCATTAATATTCATGAGCGGGTGAATTTTTACACTCCCGCAGAAGAAGGTTGAGCGGAAAGAACAAAAAATTATCGCAAATTCGTTTTAAGTTTGACGTTTCTTTATTGAAAGTGAATCTAATAAATAATTCTACGCAGCAACAAAGTGGATTTGGTGTCTTTATTTATTTCTTCATCATATTCTTTGGTTCTTTCGGTAAAGTCACGTAGATAGAAAACATATAATAAAAAAGTAAAGTGAATAAAAATAAAAAGAGTAAAAATAATCGACGACAAAAAAACACTAATGTAGACTGTAGCTTGGTTCTTAATCGGAGTGAGTGTACTGGCAGTCTATAATGTAGACTGTAGCCTGGTTATTAAGTTTGGTGAGTATACTGGCAGTCTAATGTACACTGTAGCCTGGTTCTTAGCCGTCGTGGTTTTCCTTTTTAATTATATATATTTTTATTTTATTATCTTTAAATTACTGAAAGAACCAAGGATAAGTCTACATTATAGACTGCAAGTGCACTCACTCAGGTTAAGAACCAGGCTACAGTCTACATTATAGACTGCCAGTACACTCACTCAGGTTAAGAACCAGGCTACGGTCTACATTATAGACTGCCAGTACACTCACTCAGGTTAAGAACCAGGCTACGGTCTACATTATAGACTGCCAGTACGCTCACTCAGTTTAATAACCATTGCTACAGTCTACATCATAGACTGCCAGTACACTCACCAGCTTAAAAACCAGGCTACAGTCTACATTTTAGACTGCCAGTACACTCACTCCGATTAAGAACCAGGCTACAGTCTACATTAGTGTTTTTTGTTGTTTATTATTTTTTATTTGTATTCACTTTATTTCTTATTATTTTTCTATCTACGTGACTTTACCGAAAGAGCAAAGAATATGCATTCCTGCAGTCACGAAAGTTAAGTCAAATTTTCTTCAGCACTTAGCACTAATTTAAGTTTCTACATTATGGTAAAATAGACATAACTCGTTTATTTTCCAGATATTGTATCGACTTCCAATTTATTTAAACCCCAGCAACCGAAAGCAGAAGAGAATAAAGTATCAGAGCAGTGAATTTGAACAAATTGAATTAAATTTACACAGAGTATAATACTCTGCTCAATTTTTTCGTAAATATTACAGCTTCCGTCCTAGGACAGCCAAACAAGCTGGTTATTATTATCGAGGCTTCACCCCCTCAATGCGTACGTACTAAATGGATGGACCCTTAGTCTGGGGCGGGCAGAGAGAGAGAGAGACAGACAGACCCACATCTTCATTGGGTTCAAATTAAGCTTGGAGCCAGGGCAAGAAGGCCAAGCCAGAGCAGAGAGAGAAAAAACTTCTTCATAACCAAGGACACGAATCCTCATGGTCCGTGACCCCCACCGAGTAACGGCGCTCGGGGGTCACGGAATAAACTCACAACCACGACCCCCAATTTCGATTTAAAGTTTTCGTGACTGCAGGGATTCATATTCTTGGTTCTTTCGGTAAAGTCACGTAGAAGGGAAATAATAAAATTATTTTTTAATAATAAAATTACTTTTTTTATTTCCCTTCTACTTGACTTTACCGAAAGAACCAATAATATGAACGACCCCCAACTTCGCGTAGGCAGTCAACACAGTGGCTCTGCGGTGCAGACACTGAAGCCCCCTCCAGAGAAACGTGGAATTACCACCCTCGCTCAAGCACAAGCGATTTAGCACAATCGCAATCTCTAAACTTGCGCCAGGGATCGCGAGCGGCAGCTGAAACCCCGTGGCGGGTTAAAGCCCCACTGACAATACGGTGAGATACTGTTAGGTTTTTTCGGTAAAGTCACGTAGGTAAAAATAAAAAATAGAAATAAAATAATAAATCACGACGTTTCGGAGGCAACACAAGCTTCCTTCATCAGGTGTTAAAAGGCACAGCAAAATAACTGTAGTGGGAGTTAAAAAAAAAACTAAGAGTATCAATCCTTGCAGTCACGAAACCTTCAAATCTAGAACACGGCGGTGAGAGATGACCTCTGACCCATTCGAAACCGAGCATCTTCTTGTTTCCACTGATCGTAAAAAAAAGAGAGAGACATGACCTCTCGCCCATCCGATACCGTGCCAACCCAACAACAACAGCACAACGATGATGACCCCCCAGCTCACCCAGCTCAGAGGAGCCCTGCTGCTGCTGCTCCTGCCTGCGGCCACTGCCCCTGTACCCCTGCTGCTGCCGCTGCTGCTGATGCTGCTGCTGCTGGGCCCTCCGAGCGTGGCCGTCCCCACCCCACGCGGCCTCCCGTGGCAGCTTGGGCTGCAGCCGCCGCCGACCGCTACCGCCAGCCGCTCCCGCAAGCGCCTCGGACTCCTGCTGTTGATGATAGTGCTGATAGTGTTGCTGTTGCTGTTGTTGGTGTTGCTGTAGTGGGCCCGGCTCGGCGAGGCGCATGTAGAGCACGATGAGCAGGGCCCAGGCCAGCGATGTGGCCAGAGAGCCGTAGCAGAAGCAGCGGTGCGTGCGACGAGCCATGCCCGCACGCTGCTGCTGCTGCCGCTGGCCGCGCTCAGCTGGGGCCGGGGTGGGTGGGGGGTGGGGGGAGGGAGGTCACCGCGGTGTCAGATCGGAGGGGTTTCCTCCGGATAAAGCGGCGGTGTCAGATGAGAGGGATTAGCTTTAGATCGGAAGAGATCACACGTGGTTATTTTGGTGATTTTTGGGGGGGGGGGGAGGTGAAAAAAAACAATGGTTTGATTGACATCGTTTTCGATATTGTTGTTGTTGTTTTTTGACTTGCATCCCACTGGGATTTTTGCACACAGCGTTGGTGTACGGTTTTTTTCTGCAATATTTTGCTGTCTTTTCTTGGATTTTCTGTTTGCACTTAGTCACATATTCACTTTAAGATGTTTTTTGTTCATGTTTTTGTTTGTTGCGGTTGCACCCGATTCAAGAGCCGAATGGCTCACAGGGCTATACCTAATAAATAAACTTGAACTTGAACGTGTTCAGGAACGCATCCCCGACGTAAACCGGGGTTATGACTGTGCCTGCAGATGACCAGTGGTGTCGGATTAAGACTCCAGTCCTTCGTCTTACCGCGTTCACAAATTTACCCCCCCCCCCCGTTCAAATACTCATGAACTCGTTCAACGCTGCACGCACCCAATGATTGTTAAACCCATCCCGCGTGGCGCGCTCACGTCCACGATTGGAGGGCTATAAGATTAGCGCTTGCATAATCAACGAACCAAATTGTAGGATTTAGATTCAATGATGCCACATTGGAAGGTTCGCCTCAATATTGTTATTGCGCCAGATCGAATGATTGACCCCTAAAAGATAAGGAGGCCTGGCATGGGTTCAAGCAGGCCTGACTGCTGACGAGACACTGCATGTTGGGGCCCGTTCAGTCTGTCGGGCTTATATGCTTAGAGAAAAGGCCGTGTAGCCGATGGAATGTGTCAAATATGATTGTATTTATGTGGAGGGATAAATATGTGAAGGAGACGAATTGTCTGCGTATTCGTGTTGTTATGTATATGCTCCCCAACGACGCGTAATGCTTATTTTGTGCTAGCTAAAATATAAATGCTACCAGCTCGGAGGGTTTGCCTCCACAATTTAGCGCCAGATGGGGAGGGTTTATCTGCATGTCGCTTTCACCAGATAAGAGAACTTGCCTCTGAGAAGATAATAGCTATTGTTGTTCTGCATTGTTTGCCACTTATTCTACATTCTACATGCACAGCCCTTATTCTAAATCCACTGCTGGAAGAGGGCCTCCCCCTTCACCATGGGATTATTTGGCCCTAATTGATCAGGCTGTGGGAGCAAAAAATACCGTATAACACTGCCCTCTGCAGCCCTGAACGAGTAGGCAGGCCACTCGCTTTAAAGCTTTCGTGACAGCAGAGATTCATCTTCTTGGTTCTTTCGGTAAAGTCACGTAGAATGGAAATAATGAAATAATAAAAATAAAACATAATAAAATAATTCTCACGACGTTTCGGCCACAACGCAAGCAGCCGTCCTCAGGTGAAGAACAGATCTGTCGAGAAGACAGCGTCTGAATGAAACATCCCAGACTTGGAGCGTCTATTTAAGCTGGATTGGAGGGGGAAGAGCGCCTTGACAAAAGAAGTTGCATATCAATAGGAATTTAGCATATTTATTGGAAATGCAGATATAGGATTAGTACTACTTGTGAAATGCGTAGGAGGTGGGCGGGGGTTTAAAGTCATATTATGCCCGTGCATTATGCAGGATTAGCAGCATCAAAGGGAGGGGATAGGGGTAGCATTAATAAAGGGAAGGAATGGTAATAGTATGTAGCTGCAGTAACTAAACTACCACGTAAACAACTAAAGTATAAACTACATAGTATCATCAGTATACTAAATATACTCTCCAATAAGCTGAGCTACTAACAGTAAGTAATACATTACAATTCTACTAGCATAAGTACCCGGCGTTGCCCGGGTGAAAAATATATTTCTTAATAACCTTACATATATACACAGATGGGCTGCTACCCCCCCCCCCCCCCCCCAGCCACGATCTCCTCGGCCGCTGTGCAGTAATATGTACGGCCTATAGTGTGGTGGGGTGTCGAGGCCTAGTAACGTGCAGAGCCTCTGGCCTCGCCTAAATTGCCCACCCGGCTGAGGCTGGGTACTGGGGCCGTCACCCCCCCCCCCCCCGCGCTACAATAATACTGTCTAATCGCTATAATTTTATTATTTACCGACACTATAATAGTAATTGCACACATTGTGGTGGGGGGGGAGTGAAGAGGACGTGTAACTTTGATGAATTTACCTCAGAGTCGCGTGTTAATGCGTGCGCCTATTTTTAACGGGAATTAAAAATGGCGTCCACCCCGCAGCGAATGCGTCGCTATCCGTTGCCAGGGGCAACCGCCGTCCAATGAAACTGCGTATGATCCGGCGACACACAGACAGACAGACAGATTTGCGATTTTATATATATAGATGTCGCAAAAAATATAATATGCTTCCAGCTAAACTTTATTCTCTTACATCACACGAGTCTACACCGTACTATATACAGCGCTGTCTCCCCGACAGACCTGGTCTGGACGGCTGCTTGCGTTGTGGCCGAAACGTCGTGAGAATTATTTTATTATGTTTTATTTTTATTATTTTATTACTTCCCTTCTCCGTGACTTTACCGAAAGAACCAAGAAGATGTAGCCTGGTTTTTAATAGGAGTGAGTGTACTGTCAGTCTATAATGTAGACTCGATTTGAAGCTTTCGTGACTGCAAAGATTCATATTCTTAGGTTTTTTCGGTTAAGTCACGTAAGTAAAACATCAAAATAAAAATAAAATAAAAATCACGACGTTTCGGAGGCAACACAAGTCTCCGTCATCAGGTGGAACCGTCACAGCCGAATTAGCTGCATCAAGTGAAGCAATGATTCAAGATGTAATCCCTTATAAGCAAGTTGAAGGGAGGTGGAGAGGGGGGGGGGGTTGGAGAGCTTATCAGACTGTGGTAGCCAATGAATGGAAACGTATCGGGAGGGAGGAGGAGCGGTGATCAAAGACTGCACGCAGTGCTCAACACAATGATTGGAAACGTATCGGGAGGGAGGAGGAGCGGCGATCAAAGACTGCACGCAGTGCTCAACACAATGAATGGAAACGTGTCGGGACGGAGGGTGAGCGGCGATCAAAGACTGCACGCAGCGCTCAACACAATGAATGGAGACGTGTCGGGACGGAGGGTGAGCGGTGATCAAAGACATCACGCAGTGCTCAACACAATGAATGGAGACGTGTCGGGACGGAGGGTGAGCGGTGATCAAAGACTGCACGTGGGGATGTTAACACTCGGTGAAGTAAATTAAAATAGTGCCTGTCAGATAAGATGGTCCAAAAAAGTGTAATTAAGTCTTTTTTGCGTGGTTAATAACATCTTTCCAATGATTACTGAGTTTGTACCCATCATCACGGTTGAAATTATGTCTGTGTTTGTATATTTGTATGGCTTCGTGTACAAACCTTTGATGGTAGCCAGGAGGTTTGCAGAGAACCTTGGTCTCGGAAAAGACAATTTCATGAGAGCCCGCCGAGTTGTAGCAATGATCGGCAACGGCCGAAGAATCAGTTCTGCCGTGTTTCAGATCTGACTTGTGCTCGCGGACACGATCAGCCACATGACGTTTTGTTTCTCCAATGTAGCAATCACCACAAATGCAACTCAATTTGTAGACTCCAGGATACTGTAAGTCAGGAACGACATCCTTCACAGATGGAATCAGATCACGGATTTTATGCACTGTACTGAATCGGACTTGGATCTTATGTTATTAACCACGCAAAAAAGACTTAATTACACTTTTTGGACCATCTTATCTGACAGGCACTATTTTAATTTACTTCACCGAGTGTTAACATCCCCACGTGCAGTCTTTGATCACCGCTCACCCTCCGTCCCGACACGTCTCCATTCATTGTGTTGAGCACTGCGTGATGTCTTTGATCACCGCTCACCCTCCGTCCCGACACGTCTCCATTCATTGTGTTGAGCGCTGCGTGCAGTCTTTGATCGCCGCTCACCCTCCGTCCCGACACGTTTCCATTCATTGTGTTGAGCACTGCGTGCAGTCTTTGATCGCCGCTCCTCCTCCCTCCCGATACGTTGCCAATCATTGTGTTGAGCACTGCGTGCAGTCTTTGATCACCGCTCCTCCTCCCTCCCGATACGTTTCCATTCATTGGCTACCACAGTCTGATAAGCTCTCCAACCCCCCTCTCCACCTCCCTTCAACTTGCTTATAAGGGATTACATCTTGAATCATTGCTTCACTTGATGCAGCTAATTCGGCTGTGACGGTCCCACCTGATGACGGAGACTTGTGTTGCCTCCGAAACGTCGTGATTTTTATTTTATTTTTATTTTGATGTTTTACTTACGTGACTTAACCGAAAAAACCTAAGAATATAATGTAGACTGTCGCAATTGTTATTAAGAACCAGGCTACAGTCTACATCAGGGGTCCTCAAACTACGGCCCGCGGGCCACATGCGGCCCGCCGAGGACATTTATCCGGCCCGCCGGGTGTTTTTGCCGCCGCTGCCTGTCTGTTACTTTTTTCTGCATGAGAAGGACGGTCATTGGTGGAAGAGGGAGAGGGGGCGGAGTTCCCCCCAATCAGACTGCATTGATGGGCAGTGCAGTCTGTATGTCTCTGTGTGGGCAAAGTTATTGCTGGTATATTGTTTTTGTAGCGCTGTATATATTGGTATTTTACTAATATCAATTTTGACTCCCTAGGAAACAATGATGTCAAGAAAGAGAAAAATTTACTCGGAGTGTAGGATATTCAAAGAACAGTGGACTTATGATTACTTTTTCATGCAGTACAAGGAAAGAGCTGTGTGTCTGATATGCCAGAATATAGTGTATGTGTTCAAAGAATACAATTTACGTCGACACTATGAAACTCAACATAAAGATAAATATGATTGTTTGGTCGGAGAAGTGAGAAAAGATAAAATATTAAAACTGAAAAATACATTAACAACTCAGCAAAATACTTGTGA